TTAACATGCTTCCAGTTAAATACTGTCTCTTTGAAGAGTTACCTTGGTCCTGGTGTCTCTTCACAGCAATAGAACAACGACCAAGACAAGTAGAATCAGCAGAGAGGTGTCAGGCCACAGTTGGTCATCCAGAGAATAAGTCATTGTTAGAGCCAAGGGGATAGTTAGCATCTGACGGATAGGAGACAGTTGGCAAGCAAGGAGCATTCTGATGACTGATGTAGACTAAGGGTCCAGGAGCGTCCTGGCAGCCTAGATCCAGCAGACAGTCACAGGAGTGGACAAAACTCTAGTCCTCAGGGGGACAGATGTGGTCTGCTTACAAACCCGCCTTTATAGAAGTTCACCCAGGAACAGGAGTTTACCCGGCTGTTTTGTCCTGGGACATAAGGTTGGGAAGAACCAGCTGAAAGGATTGTTTCTGGCTTGCCTGGCACTCCTTCCGTTCCTGTTTTTTAAGACTGGAGTTGGTCTTGGGACCAGGGTGACCCAGTTTGGGGGGTTAAAGGCAGAGAGCTGGTCGTCAGCAAGCCCTTTTGTTAATTCAGTACATCTGGAGGACACATAGCTCTCCACGGGACTCTGCTCTTCCATTGTCTGAAAGCTCTGTGTGTATGTGTATGTACGTGTATGTGTGTGTACGTGTATGTGTCTCGCTCAAGATTGAACCCAGGGCTTTGATACCACCAGGACCAGAGTTTGAATTTCCATTGCCGACATAAATGCTGTGTGAGCATGGTGGCCAATTTGTAGTCCTGGCCACTTGGGAGGCGAAGAAGGGTTCCTCAGAACAAGCTGGCTAGCTAGACTGGCTGAATTGGTAAGGTTTGCATTCAAGTGAGAGGCTCTGCCTCCAAATATGAGGAAGAGAGGCACCCAGTGACAAACTTTACCTCCACATGTGTGCCCATACACTTGTGATCATAAACACACAAACACACACAAACAGAGAGAGAGAGAGAGAGAGAGAGAGAGAGAGGGAGAGAGAGAGAGAGGTAGAAAAGAAAGCCCCCCACAGTCTTGGACTTCCCAGTTCACAGAACCTTGAGGCAAAAGATTGTGTTACAGCAGTAGAAACCCAACAATACAGCCGCCAAGGAAGCCCCAGCTGCTGCTGCGCTTGGTTTGAAGCAGTGAACAAGGACATGTTGAAAGACAAAGAAACATTTTTGGCAGTGTGTTGAGCCAGAGAAACAAAAGAACTCTACATTGATCAATAAATAGCTATTAAACAGTTGGCAAATTAAGGTGCAGTAGATTAAAAAGAAATCACTTAGGTTTTTTTTTTTAAGTGTTTTATAGATCCAAGTTTGTGATAGCTTTTAAAATCTCGTAATCATCCTGAGAGTATTTTTATAAACTACTCATTTAATGTAATAAAGCCTTCTTTCCCTCTGAAAGTGTTTTAAGTGGTACGATATGTGGGCATTGAAGTAGCTAACACAGATGGCTCGGGTGGTGGTGGGTAGGCGGGATTTGGGGTCTGGGGGGATTGGTGGGTGGTTCATGCCTGTGAGCCGCACTCCACAGCTCAGAATGGTGCCAGTAGGATCCTGGTAGCCTTCCTTGAGTAGGTGCTGTGCTTCAGGGAACTTAGCATGAGTGAGTGTCTGGGTGTTTGTTACAGCCAGGCTGCTGTGACAAAAGTCCACAGACTAGACCATTGAAACAGCTGGTTCTTGCTCAGTTCTGGAGGCTACAAGTCAGATCTGGGTACTAACCAGCAGTCAGGTTAAGGTGAGGACTTCCTTCCTGCCTCTCCTGGAGCTGCCTCCTTACTGTGTCTACAAGTCCTATAAATGAGTGTAACTAAGTCCTGCTGCATTTAAACAGCTGATAACCTGTGAGTGGAAGTTTTTGAACCCTTTAAAAACTCAGTAAAGCTTAGCATGGTGGCAGATGCCTGTAATACACAAGGGAGGCAGGAGGATCAGAGTTCAAGGCTAGCCTCAGGATACATACTGAGTTTGAGGCTATTCTGAGCCACATGATGAGACCCTATCTCCCAATAACAAAAACAAGGTTCTGGGAAGGAGGCTTATAGGTTAAGAGCACGCTCTCCTCTTGCAGAGGACCCAGGTTCAACTCCCAGCACCCACATGGTGGCTCACAACCATCTGCAACTCCAGTTCTAGGAGATCCAGTGTCCTCTTCTGATCTCCATGGGCACTATACATACATACATACATACATACATACATACATACATACACACATACATACATACATACATGCAAAACACATATACAATAAAATGATTAAATCTAATTAAAAAAGGTTTCTCCACCCAACTCTAAAAACCAAAACAAAAACTCCCACAGCAAAACCCACTAGATACAACTTCCTGCTGACAAGAACGGGAGCTGTGGATGCAGGGGCCGGGACTGGGCCCCTTGGCAGTGCCTCACTGGGAAAGCTGGTGACTCTACCTCCCCCTTTTCTCTCCCTTCACAGAGATGTGGTATGGCGTGTTCCTGTGGGCACTGATGTCTTCTGTGTTCTTTCATGTCCCTGCTGGACTGCTGGCCCTCTTCACCCTCAGACATCACAAATATGGTAGGTTCATGTCTGTAAGCATCCTGTTGATGGGCATCGTGGGACCAATTACTGCTGGAATCTTGACAAGTATGTTAGACATTAAAATACCAGTCAAAAACTTGTAATGTGGCTAGTCACCTAGTTTTAGGACTCATTTTAGAAATGGGGGGTGGGGGTGGGAGCCCTGGGAATTTAGCTTGGTAGAAGAAGGCTTGCTTAACAAGCACAAAGCCCTGGGTTTGGTTTCTAGCAATGGGAGGGGGGGAAATGTGTGTGTGTGTGTGTGTGTATGTGTGTGTATTGCATGTGTTTTCATGTGCACACATGCACACACACAATGAGTTTTAAAGAGTTAGCTTTTAAGTATGGCTCTTATTTTTTAATGTGTTCCTTTATTGGGTTTTATTTTGTTTTTTTTTGTTAAACTCTCAAGCTCCTTGCCTGGCCAATCTCTTTGGCTTTCCAAGTCAGATTTGAAATGTTTTGTGATGGGCCACTAGTACAATAAAAGTATTTCCCCACGGATATCTCAGCACCTCTCTGATCCCATTTCCCCTTGACCTGGGCTTTGCAGAATGGTTCACTGATTGCTTCTACTTTTCGGGTATGTCTCCTTTAGGGATGGAGAATAAATCTGTTTAGGAAGATAATTGAGGGCTAGGCATACAAAGTGGAAAAGCTGACGTAGCATGTGTGAGGCCTAGATTTGACTCCAACACTGTACACAAAGGAAGTAAAGTGTCTGATTTGTGTTTTTCTATCTTCTATGTTCCCCGACCCCAGACTTCCTGACTAGAGACTGGAGTAACATGAAAATTACAAACTATTTTTAAACCCGCTTCTTTCTTTTGTCTTTGTTTTGTTTCATGTCCCTGACACAACTAGAGGAATGAAAAATGATAAATCATTTTTAAATGTATACTTACACAGAAGCATGTGTGTTTATTTTCTAGAAATACAAACTTAAAATGAAAATAAAAATCATACTGTGCATTAGTAGACACAGGTTGTATTAAAAATTATTATTTTTATGTACATTGGTGTTTGGCCTGCATGTATGTCTGTGTGAGGGTGTCTAATATTGGAATTGCGAGCTCCCTTGTGGGTACTGGGAATTGAACCCAGGTCCACTGGAAGAGCAGGCACTGCTCTTAACCACTGAGCCACCTCTCCAGTCCCAGCTATTTTTAAATACGTATTCTATATAATATATTTATATTGTATAAATATATAAATATATAAATATATAATATTAAAAATATGTTTATATTGTACAAAATATAATATATATAAAATCATAAATGTATTTATAAAACATAGGAATGTAACATTCCTAATTTGTCACTTATTTATTTTTACTGTAAATTTAAACCCTGAGTTTTGAGCAGAAATGCCCATTTGGAGCCCGGGCTATACAGAGAAACCCTGTCTCAAAAAACAAAAAAAAAAAAAAAAAAAAAGAAATAACCATTTGGTCTCTTTGATTGGCTTTCTTTCTCTCTTTTCCTTCCTTCCCTCACCCACCCCTTTCTTTCTTTTGATACTGTAGCTTTGTTTCTGTGTTCTGTGTCACTAAATGCTGCAGTATCCACACAGAATTCCTGGTCCCCGAGTCAGTAAAGCAGGGGTGGAAGTACCCAACCACACCCTTGAGTGCTGAGGGATGAGAGGTCTGCATGCCAAGGGCCTGGCGCCATAGTTGGCACACAGTAGTTGGGCACATACTCATTCTGTTCCAAGGCCTTCCGGTAGTGTTTCCTTTTCCCGCTCTCTGGGTTTTCCTTTCTTTCCTCCTCATCCATATCTCGTGAGGGCCCAGGTCAGGTTCCTCAGGCTTCTTTCTTTTCTTTAAGAAAGCTCAGTTACAGAGACCCCATGAGACTTGGGCTCTGACACCTCGGTGACATTGATGGCCACCGGAGGCAAAGTCAAATATCTAACACTGTCTGCTTGTCGAAACACATTAATACTGTCTCATGTCACAGTTTAAGAGTGTGCAGTCTTCCTTTATTTTGAGGTGCTGAGAGTGGAACCCACAGCCTTGTACATCCCAAGCACGTGCTTTGTCACTGAGCCACACCCTCTATTTACTTGTTGTAGTTGGATTGCGTTGACTGTGTTTCCTGAGTGTCTATGACTCTGAGAGGGATAGCTGGGTCAACACAGGTCTGGGTGTAGAAGATGAGATGGGGTGTCTGGGTTGGCGCCAGTGTTTCTGTGCTAGGCTCCCATTCTCCAGGAGGTCCTAGTGACTATAAGGAAGGGAAATAACAACCTGGGACACAGAAGGGACCCTGTGCTCTCTGTCCTGGTGTCCTTTGAAATCCCATGTGGATTTCTCCCTCCTCTCTTCCTTGAATGGAATCCTCCATGTCATAGCAAGTGGGGCTAGGATCTCCTGTGCCCTGGAGCCATTTCTTGATCTGTCTCAGTAGCTTGTCACCCATTGCCAAAAATGTTATTTGGTGACCGTAGGCATGGGGTCAGCTAGCAAGAGAGTGAGGGGAGATGCTGGACCAAGAGGGAACTGCTGTCTTGTCATCCAAACTGTCACTTCAGACCATTCAGTGACTATGAGATGCTCAAGCTAAGGGCGTCCAAATATAAATGCTGACTTGCGAACCTCATAGAGAAAGTTAGCTCCGTCACCAGAAAGGATAGAGAGCACGAAGCTTCTCATTCATAACTAAATAATTAAAAACTCTATCTCTGTACAGCAAATATTTTAAATCTTAGATTTTTTGTGATGTCATTCATCTCAGGTTTTGTTTACTAATTTACACCCTCCCTTTCTCATCACTTGACTTTGAACCAGGTGCAGCGATTGCCGGGGTTTACCGAGCAGCAGGGAAGGAGATGATCCCCTTCGAAGCACTCACCCTGGGCACCGGGCAGACGCTCTGTGTAGTGGTAGTCTCCTTTTTACGGGTCTTAGCTACTCTATAGCATACCTCTCTCACTGTGACGTCATCCCTGAGTTTTATAGACTCCTCAAAAGGAATGGACAGTGTCATGGTTTCTTCATTCCTCAAATGGGAGCCACTAGGAAGCCTGAGAGTATGAAGACCACCACAGCCTTTTCTTCTAGTTGAAGCTCCCGAAATTGAAGACCCTTGTGGACACCCATCATTCTCAGCCAAAACAAGCTCCCTGGCTTTTCTTCTCTTGTGGCAACCTAAGAAATTTTACCCATACACCCGTCACCTAAGCCAGCAATGCCTCGGAGTCTGCGTCCTTCCTTGGAAAAAAATGTATCATTGCTGTTTCCCAGCAACCGGTGGGTGGAGAATGCTGCTTGATTTCAAGGGGGCAGGCTGCTCAGTGCTGAGAGCTTAGTGTCCTGGCAGTAAAGCCAAGCTGGTTTGAGTTGGTTGAGAACAAACTAGTGGAACATCAGGAAGAAGAACTGAAGTAGAGTTCAAAGCAGTAGCTTTGGTTTCACTGTCAAAAGTAGGTGACCACTGAGAATGTGACATGTTATGGATAACTATCTTGACCTCTGATATATTTCAAGAGATGTGAATTTATCATTTGATCAAAATAAGCTAGCTAATTGAGTTTTGTTTTTTTTTTTTTTGGTTTGGTTTTATTGTTGTTGTTGTTGTTGTTTTGTTTTAAAGACATGAGGTCTTGCTTTGTTGCCCAGGCTGGTCCAAACTCCTGGGCTCAAGGCAACCACCTGCCTCAGCCTCCTGAGTATCTGGGACAATGGGCATCACTGTCATGCCTAATCGAGATTCTTTTCCCAAAGAATTTCCATGATACTTTTTCATCTTTAACACTATCCATAGACTTTCTTAAGTGGCTGGACTTGACCTTCAAAACGGGGTAGGTTAGGACACTCTTTGGACATTCAAGCACAGATAAGATACTTGCAGGATTCTGCTAGAGGTTTGGTGGTTTTCGTTGATTTGCTGAGTCTGTGCTTGTGCAATGTGCTGAAGGCGTTAGTGGGTATTGGTTTTCCTCATACTGTGTTTACCTAGCAATGGCTCCTCAGCCCCCTCTTGCAGTATTTGAGTATCCACTCCCAGAAAGTGCCTAACACTTCCTCTTCAGACATAACCCCTCTGGCCTGCTTATTTTTCTTCCAAGAGAATTTATATCCTTAGAGAGTAGTAGTAGTTTTTAACTCGGTTTTAGCTATTTTAATTTTTAACTCTACTGCCTAATTTTGCTTTTCCTTAAAAAGGCCTCCAGACTGTGACCTTCAGAAGGGAAAGGGGGTGCAGAACTTAAGCCCCTTTCATCAATTCAACAGTTTTGTATAAACTACAGTAAAATGCAACAGCCTTGTTGTTAACCTATTTTAAGAGTAGCTTCTGGTGATTAACTGACATTTTTAAAAGAACATTTTCATTGTGAGATTAAGGTTCACAACCTATGAGGAAATAAATTTATCTTAAAGCAATATGCTCTCAGCTTCTGGTTAACTACTAGCCAGGAGGGTCTGGCAAGATTGTTCAGCATGAAAGGTGGTTCTCCGGATCCACAGGGTGGTTGGAGAGAACCAGCTCCTGCCGTTGTCTCTGCTCTCCACATGCTGGTCACATGCACACGTAAATAAATAAATGTAATTAAAATTTCTTTTAATTAATCTCTCTGTGGGCACTTGCACCCATGTGCACATACTTCCTGTCCCCCACATACACATGATTTTTAAATCTGATAAAATAGCCAAGCGGATCAATTTGCCCAGTAATGGCTGCAGGGGAAACTGCAGGGATGGCTCCAAAAATAATTGGCTCTTTCCTTTTGACCACCACTTGTCAAAACTGTAGTGACAGTCAGATTTGGTGGGCAACTAAACTGCAAATAAACAGTTCTTCACATTCCCCAGCAAAAAGAACAACTCTTACTTCTGACAAAAGATTTCCATTTTCAGTCTGAGGGACTTTGGAAAACATCCTTTCAGCTGGAGAAACAGGAATATTATACTGGGCCCTGTGGGAGGTGATAGCACCCCTGGAAGGATGCCTTGTCTTACTAAGCATTCTTTGGGATGTAATTTTATACATATGGTGAATAGATGGTTGGCTGTTTCCCCTTAAAAAATAACTTATGAACATATTCATCCATGGTTAGAATGTTAGGTTATTTGTATTTACAACCAAGACACAAAAGTTAGGGTGTTTTTGTTTCCTTATGTTTCATCAGCTTTAAAAACAAAAACTTGAAATATAAGTAATGTAACTTCAAATTATTGAGTGTTTCATCTATCCCAATGTGTGTGAAGCCTTTTTTTTTTTTTTTAATTGGTTTTTCAAGACAGGGTTTCTCTGTGTATTAGCCTTGGCTGTCCTGGACCCACTTTGTGGATCAGGCTGGCCTCAAACTCACATTGATCCACCCGCCTCTGCCTCGCAAGTGCTGGGACTGTAAACAAATGCTATGGGATACCAAGCCGGGCTGTGTGAAGCATTCTTTTGTGGATAAATGTACACAGAGTCCAAAGACTGAGCTCTGGGGCTTGAAATGTTTTCAGGAAGAACCATTTGATTGATTGATAAAGAGTGCATTCCACTTGGATTTCCGTTTTGCTTCCTCCTCTTGTCTTACTTGCCGAGGTTTATGCCGAGCACATCACCTTGAGGAATTTCCTCCCTGTAAGGACTTCCTTGGAACCTGATTCCTATGTGTGTTATCTCCCCCTCTCATCCTCTTTTAAGTTCTGAGACAGGGAGGCAACCCCCAACCAAAAGCTGATCTCTCGATGCCTTAGTGGGATTTTGGGGTAAAAATGAAGTTCATGTGCAGAAGCACAGTGATCATGAGCAGACGCATCTTTGCAGCAAGACACCGCTTAGGAAATGCCGGGAGTCTTGAACAGCACTTCATGCAAGTAAAGACGTCCTTCCTGTGTCCTTTAGGTTTTTAAATTGTGTGTTGGCTTTTGATTCCAATGTCCTTTGTGACTGCCCTGGTTTCCCTTAAGTTACTGTGACAGTGTGGGACATGCCAACTTTCCCTGAGGAACTCTTTCCTGGAATGTGAAACCCCAGTGCCATTAATGGTCCGTGTGCAGAAGGTTTTGTGAACTTGTGTTTCCTTCTTGTGTACTGCGTAAGGCTGGTTATGACCAAAATCAGTTGAACTTTTTATATTCGGTTATTGCACTTAACTGCTATAGTCAAAATGATCAAATCTTTGTACATTAGAGATTTATTTAAATATTATTTTTCTACTGACATTTCTAATGCTAGTATAAATGTTTATTATCAATAAAGAATTACTTTGAATTCTTTGAGTTGAGATCGCATTTTTATTTGTTTTGTTTTGTTTTTAGATTTCATCTGAGGTAATGTCTTGCTATGTATCCTTGGCTAGCCTCTAACTCTTCACGAAGCCCAGGCTGGCCTTGAATTTGTGGCAGGCTTCCTGTCTCTGCCTCTGAGATACTGGGATTACAGGCGTACCACCATACTCAGCTCTGGAGTTGCTTTTTCTTTTTTCTTTCCCAACCCCCAACCCCACTACTACTGCTGCTACTATGACAACGACGACCACCACCTCCTCTTCTTCCTCCTCTTCTTCCTCCTCTTCTTCCTCCTCTTCTTCCTCCTCTTCTTCCTCTTCTTCTTAACTTTTGTTTTTTCTCTAATTATTTCTTGGTTTTTGGACAGGACCTACTAAGCAGCCATGGCTGGCCTGAAACTTGTTTAAGGCTGTTCTGGAAGTGTGATCTGCTGCCCCTAGCCTCCCAAGTACTGGAATTAAAGATATGTGCTACCATGCCTGGATTCCTTCCCCCTCCTTCCTCCCCCCGCCCCTTTTTATTTACTGGTGGGAGCATGGGCACGTGCTTGTCATGGCCTATAACTAGAGGTTAGAGGACAGCCATTTTTAACCACTGACCCATCTTGCCAACCCCTAGAATTATATTTCTATTGCAGTCTTTTATAATAAAATTCTACATGTTTAACTGTATTTCTTTTATGTTCAACTTTATAATAATTTAAAACTAAATTATTTTTCAGAAAACATGGTGAAACTGTGCCTAAAGTGAAGATCACTCATTAACTCTACTGATCAGGCCATTTGTTCATATCAAGAAGCTTCCTATGGGGCCTGGAAAGATGGCTCAGTGGATAAAGGGTTTGCTTTGCCAGCAGAGGACCAGAGCTCATATTCCCAGCACTCACAATAAAAGCTAAGCAGGCATGGGGACCTGCCTGTAATTCCAACACTCAGGAGGGATCCCTGAAGTTTCACCAAGAGACCCCCTCGCCTCACTAAGTAAATACAGTGTGTGGAAGACAACTAATGTTAACTTCTGCCGTCCATATGAATATATGCCTACACACACACTAGAACATGCATGTATACCGCACTTGTGAAAAAAAGCTTTTATATGATCCTATACTAGGATGGATGAGTAGTACACAGATGATTTACAATTTCAATGGTCTACTGGAAGAACTCCACAGATTTCTATAATGTCCTCAGTAACTAATATACCTCTCATGTTTTCAGCAAGTTTGGTCACTCAGTTTGGGGTAATTTATCATCTGTTCTTTGTCTTGTAAATTTTGGGGTTTGTTTGTTTTGTTGAGACAGGGTTTCTCTGTGTGGCCCTTGCTGTCCTGGAACTCACTCTGTAGTCCAGGCTGGCCTCGAATTCAGAAACCCACCTGCCTCTGCCTCCCAAGTGCTGGGATTAAAGGCATGCGCCACCATTGCCTGGCTAATTTTTGTTCGTTTTGAGGCAGAGGCTCACTATTTTCTCTGGCTGTCCTCAAATTCACTGTGTAGACCAGGCTAGTCTCAGGCTCAGAGATCCGCCTGCCTCTGCTGAGATTAAAGGTGTGTGCTACCACACGCAGATGTACAGTAAGCACACAAGTGTTGACTTACAGCTTGGTAATTTTGCACTTATGTGACTACTGGTCAAATCAAGAGACATGTTTCTGCCATCCTGGAAGGATACAGAGCATCATGTATGGACTGTCAGGTTTCAGCCAGACATCCCCATGCTTGTATGGACCTGAGATATAATGAAAAGAGCTTTTAGTTTCCATAACAGTGACAGCCCACACTTGAAAGTGGAGAGTGGAAGATAAAGACCTAGAGGTGCTTAATCATCACAGGCTGATCCCTTACATTATTGCTGAGACAACAGTGAGCCAAGCACCTTACAAGAATTAGAGGCTTATCACTGGTCTAACTGCATTGCCCCTGAGTAGAGGGACCCTTGTCGCCTGGCTCTAGCCTATTTTTGTCCTGCTAGATGATGTCCTCATGTTGCCATATTTAATCATTTTTTTAAAGAGAAGCTGAGACTCTAGACTGTTTGAAACCCATCCATTTTTAAGTGCTGACCCCTTTTTCTTTCTTTCTTTCTTTCTTTCTTTCTTTCTTTCTTTCTTCCTCTCTCTCTCTTCTTTCCTTCCTTCATCTTTCTCTCCCTCTCTCTTTCTTTCCTTTCTCTCTTTCTTTCTTTCTTTCTTTCTTTCTTTCTTTCTTTCTTTCTTTCTTTCTTTCTTTCTTTCTTTCTGACAGCTAGTATTT